TGGTTCGTACGTCTCTTGGTTGGTTTGGAATCAGGGTTTCTGGCAACTCCCCTAGGGGAACTACCAGTGGTTCACCAACCCAGTTATAGCCCCAAATGTCGGATTTTCGCCCTTTTACTTTGGTGTTAAAACACCGCCACGAGAAGGCAGTGAGTAGGGCTTCCTCAGCAGAGTCTGTTTGAGACGCATGGTCGTATGGGAGCGTTTCACGAGGTGCAGGGAAGGGTAAACAGCCACAACCCTAGACATCCACCCCGACCATACTGAGGCTTTTGGAGTACATATGACTTGTTGGTCTGAAGGCAACTCGCTGTATCTTGATGTACGAGTGTATCTACGGTACTAATATCTAAATAGTCAGGAATGTACACGAATTAATTTTTCTGCATTTTTAAACGTGTACGATGCTGTCGATCGCTTTCATAAGCAGGAGGAGTGACTAGTAAGCAAAACATTTAGATAATGCACACGTTCACTCCTACTTAGCAACAGAGAGGTCGGGAAAATGTTGCCTAACTAAAGAAATAGAGAGCTAGAGTTATTGTCCATTCTCGCTCGTCGTGGTGATTCTGGATGACTGATGGTTCACTGATGATGACAAGCGGAAACCTATGAGCTGATGCTTGGAGTGGCAACCCGCATACGACCCCGCTAGCATAGGCTGGGTCGGCTACTGACAGACGACAGTGAAGTTTCCTATCAGTAAGTCGAGTGGGGGTGACAGGGTTCGAATGTTCCACAGTAGGGCTCGACGTACGGTATTGACGGACTTACATCGATCGAGCCCTACGCACTGCCTTCTCGTGACGGAGGTGTTTTTCCACCAAAGTGAGAGGATAAAAGCTATAAGCGAGTCGGTGAACCACTGGTAGTTCACCTAGGGGAGTTGGCCATAACCCCTGATTTCAAACCACCCAAGAAGAGGCGTATGAACCCCACACACCTTTCCGCTTATATTAGTGGTCACCGGCTCGATTGGGCAACTAGGACGTTTGACCCCGTCCAAGGGGTGANTGCACACCGGCTCCCAAATGGACTGCGGTTTTCACACACCGCCCTGGTGCCTTGCGGGTCAGGCTTTGGTTAGCCAAAGGCTCCGATTGTGAATTCCTCAAGAAAATTCATCTGTTTTGGCCCGGGGCAGCCTAACAGTGTTCGGCCCTCATGCAAATGGTGGAACGTTTTGTTTGTTATAAAGATTATTGTAATACAATTGGTTGGGACAAAGTCTGGTCTCAGACGTGCGTTTATATATATATATATATATATATATATATATATATATGTAAGACATTTTTTTAACCGAAATACAGTTGATAAACTTCCAATGCACTGTGCGAAACAAGGTGAAACCTCACTATGGTCGGGTGTGCATGTCTCAGGTTGTGACCACTAACCCTTCCCTTGTACCTCACGAAATGCTTTCATTCAACCAAGCGTATCAAATAGCGCCTACTGACTGCATATCCGTGGCGGAATTATATTCCCACGAGAGGATTAAAGGCCAAATTTGGATCAATAAACTACTGGCAGTTCTCACCAGCTAGCCGTCTTGCGGGTCAGGCTTTGACTAATCAAAAGTTCCCCGAGGAAATTCACCTAATGTGGCCTAGGCAACTTATCGGTATTGAACCCACGAGCAAATTGTGGAAGTTTCTCTGTGTGTTTTGAATTGTTGTGCTGTGATTTGTTAGGCACATGGTTTGGACTCCGGTTTAGGTTCTAAACTTATCCGTTTCTGAATCCGCTTCATTGCCCACTATGTTCTAACAGGAAATAAGTAGTCTCTCGGCGTTTGTGGAAAGGAAGTTTCTACTAATTCCCTCGGTCTGTCCCCTCAGTGCCATAAACACTAATTTGAAACATAGCTAGCACGTTCACGAAGCACACTCCCTCGACAATCACATTTTCTCAGTCAGATTTAGCACCTCAAACTCGTTCAGTTTTCATCAACACACTGTCTGTAACTGTTTGCCTCGATACACATGAGACTCCATACTTAAACCACGCGGCTCGTCTCCAATTCTCCAGATTCCCGTTTGTCGTTCTGAAGTTTTCAAAACTCGCCTACTAACGCTACGTCAGAAACGGTCACTGGGCTCGTTTTTTGAGTGGTGTTTTCATTTGCCGCTCGGTAATTCGCAGACCTCCACGGATAGTACGCCAGACATGGATGTTTACAACAGTGAGTATACGAGGTTTAAACTGATCCCAGCCGACAAAGTTTGTCCACTGCGTTGTTTTAATTTCATGCACATTTTTCTGTGTCGGAAATTTCAAACTTTCCAGGCTTTCTAACAGCAACTATTCCCAGGACATCTAAGTAGTGTGATTTTATGCCCTATTCGATTTGCTTGTTACTAAGCTTTTCAAAACAGATATATCAAGGAGTAGATCACCGTCTGAAGCTCGTCACGGTTAGTGATAATGACAGAAAAGTGATATTTCCAATGGTCTTCTCATCAGTTTGCCTTGGGTCCTGGGTTTTTAATATCCCAGAATAATAATCCTCCGTCTCTGGGTTCGAATCTCATTCGTTTCAGCAATTTGAAAGAAATATGAAACATCCATGCCCATCCTCCTTACAATGCGCACCAAGCATCGAAACCAAACAGCCATTCATTCTTATCAGGGCTCTGTTTTATGAGTTGTGCATGACTTTCTTCTATTCATTTTTCTTCTCATAGACTTTTTTCTTTTTAATAAAGATTATTGTACCATGATTTGTTTGGCACAGAGAACAGCCAAACTGTATAACGAACACCCTTTTCTGTCTATGTTTCCTCCTACCTACAATCGCGCTATCACTTCAAAACGAACTAGATCTGTCATGATCGCTCTCTCTCTCTCCTCACAACAAAGTCTGTGAAAGACCGTGAACTACACTGTTTGGGACATATGTTGCGCATGTCACGACATAGGTTGCCACGGTGCATGATGTTGAATGAGGATGCCATCGGATGGGACACGTTTTGCGTATGTTGAACGGTCGCCGACTACACCGTGTCTTATTTGCAGCGGCCGCTGCAGACTGGGAAAAGACACTTGGAGGCATGAAGCAATGCACAGAGCGATTAGGTAGACTAGGTGTCTCTTGTCTTCCGGACTGGGATCCAAAAGACTTCGTAACTGGATGGTTAAAGATAGCAAACCGACAGCAGTGATGATCCTGCGATCAATCATGATCAGACCAGAGTGCTTGAAGACGTGTGTATGCACAGTTGAGCAGTCTACTCTGGGTATTGCTTTCTTTTCCCGTCCTTCCAAATAGGCTCAATCTCTATTCTCTTTACACATTATCACTTGCCTTGTGTGCATTATGAGTTTGGCAGCGCTTAGTGAAGTTCGCTCTACTGTATTCCGCTGTGCAATGATGATGGTCAGAGGTTATGAAAATCCTAACCAAGGACTGGGTCACATAGGTTTCGTTAGGCTCCCTGGATGGGGACCGCGAGATCATGGTAGCCGGTGGTTAGAGACATTGAGTGATATGGCTGAGTATCGCAAGCAGTAGCGCTCGTGCGTCTGCTCATTATTCTTACAACTCTTCCACTTGAATTTGATTTCGACATTCCAATGTTCGTTCTGCTACTTTTTTTCAAGTAGTCAGTCCAAAAACAGCTACCAAAACCACCGCACAGAGGTGTTTGGTTAATGGTTGTAAATACTGACACACGCTTCGGACCAGTCACTATAATTGTGCAACAATAAGAATGTTAATTGGTAGATGACAGCTCAAACCGATATAAAAAGTTCAATATTCATGATGGGATATTGTTTATATTGTTTTATTACGATTATTCATGTTATGTATATATACACTAGATTTCCGGCAATGGAACCTAAGTTTAATATTGCCGTCAGAACAGCATAACACTTGTTACACCCGCTGTTGAATATGTTGTTTGGAAAACGCACTTATTGGTTTACACTCGTGCTTTGTTTTTGAAACTCACCACTCTTTGTCCACCTTGTCAGCTTACTCGACTAGACCGATTCGTGAGTTACTCACTGAGAACCGGAATCTGGACTCGTTTACGCAACAACTGGTTACGAACAATCTGGCCCTGGGCAGTGATGAGATTACAACCAAAGAGGTATGTTTTCGCCAGCTGTTGCTTCTCTTCACGTGTCTCTGTTTATGAAATCAGTGGATGATGTTTGACACAGTCTCTCTCTCTTTCTCGAATACACGCTTCCAGTCCTTCCCGGTTTTATACATTTTGAACTTTTCGAGACAAACTCAATACAAATTCTGTTTTTGAAATGCCCCACAGTTATACACATAAACTAGCACACGTGGGTTATCGACGTTCTGCAGAAAACAGGTCATTTAACGCTTCTAATCCCGAAAGTGTTGTAGGTTTACCATCATTTTTATTACGCATTTGTGTAATGAACACGGAGAACAGTATAACTGCCACAACCCGTTGTTCGATTTGGGAGACCGCAAACCAAGTAACTGATTGCATAATACTGGACAACTACTTCACTATCTAGCACAACACCCATTCAACATGAATCCCCGAATTATCCAATAATTGATCGATTTATTAGGACTAA